TTTTTTCTTGAGTGAACAAATGAACTTTTATGGAGAAGTTCACGGCTATTGCAGGACCCTTTGCGGAGCTATTTCAGGACCATCAAGGAACTAGTACACGATTATTTCAGCACCATTACGGGCTTAGTTCTGAAACATTTGAGGTCAATTTCGGGACTTGTTGTGGATCATTTGAAACTATTTAGAAACTATTTCAGGCCTACTGTGGGGATAGTTCGCGTTCATTTTAGGGCTAGTGCGGGACCATTTTGGCATTCGTGCACAACCATTTCCGGACCATTTCGGTACTATTGCAAAAACATTTCGGGACTATTTCTAAAACATTTTGGGTTTTTTAATGAGCTCTTCATAAACTTAAAAAAAAGGAGTTTCAGACTACTTTAGTATTTGCCAGGCAGATGCAACTGCTATTAAAGAAGAATTGAATTGGCTACTTAACTGCCTGACATCGACAAAGGAGGTAAATATATGTATGCTTTGATAGTCAACCGACTATCAAGGACTTAGACTCATGGTGTGCTCAAATCAGGTACGAGAATGACTGCATTTGATTATTTCCCAGTGCAGCTGCAAAGTATTTCTAGACGAAGGTGGATCGGTGTCGGTAAAACAAACTTCCTATACCTCAAAATGGCAACATTAACCGCTATTTTCTATTGATATTTACTTGGTTCCAAGTTTTTTTTGTAAGACAATTGGCAAGATGGTTTGAGAAATTTTGTTTATTTTGGCACCAAGGCATTATAAAAATGATTCCGCGCAAACTTTTATAGTGAAAAGCTCCTTTGACAGAAAGCATTAGCGCATGTTCCAAATGGAGATGTACATATGTATATCATTTTGCTCGCGCTGCTCCAGCAGCCACAATGGCCGAGTGAGCAAAGCGTTGACGATACATTCCAGAGTTCCAAGGTTCGAGTCCTAGGGCTGCGGATTTTTTTGTTTTTAGATTAAGTATCTTCTTCTTCTTTTTTCCAATTAATTTCATTTCGTTTTTATTTAATTTTCCTTTAATATTTAGTACTGCTTTATAAAGACAAACATTTTTTTGTTTGTTTTTTATTTAATTAAATTTTCAGAAACATTACTCTTTTATTTAAATTTGTTTATGTTTTTAATCGTCTTATTTATTTTTCAGTTTAATTTTTTTTTAGGTTCTTAAAATACTTTGTTTTAGAAAGAAAAAAACAATAATTTAATCAAATTCTTAGGATCTTTTATTATCGATTTAATTTTCTTTTAATTTTTAAATAATTTTTTTTTTTGAAAGTATATACATTTTAAAATAAATCTAATTTTTACGAATTAATTTTTTCCTTTTTTAATTTTATCTAATTTTTTTAAATTTAAGTTTCTTTTAATTTCAAGATTTTGTTGCATTATGAGGAAAAATTTTGTGTTTTATTTAATTTAGTTTTTCGGAACTTGTTTCATGTGCTTTATATATAATTTTTTTAATTACATTTTCTTTTAATTTTTAGTTTTTATTATTTTAAAAAGAAAAATAAATATTTTGTATTTGATTTAATGTTAGTTAGCAGATATTTTAATCAGGCAGAGAAGAGTTTTCGAAATAATTGCCGGAATCGGCAATAGTCTTAGGAAAGACTTTTGATTTTCGAAAGACTATAGTTAGTTGAAAGACAGTTGCTAGAATTTCCCTATAAATGTATTACTGTCGCTGATGTGTGGAGCATAGCGGGGTGGGATTTAGTAAACGTTTTCATCGGAACAGCCTAGCTTTATGGGCGCTCCAATGGCCTAAGATTAAAATTTGCAACCAACGAGAATGATAACTGCCCCTACAGAACGATTTTCTGTGCATACATCGCTCATCCAATACATAGCTTAGCAGTTATCGTTTATTATGGCATTACAAAGGACCAGCGTTTATGGACCAATAGCATCTCTACCTATGGTAACCAGTTACTTAAATTAAGGTCTGCTATTTACAGTGGTAGAAATTCGGCTACGCTACACATTCATCGTTTTTAGCTTGAATTTTTTAAAAACTTTACCTTAGGGAATGTTTATTGCCAGCCTAAAATAATCGCGGTTTGAACATTTTTTTCAAGTTCCACAAACTTGATAAATTTTCTTCGCGGCGCCCCTTTTGTAAACTTTCAATTCTATCATTGAAAAAGTCCTATAATTTTCTCATTATTTATTTTTAAAACGACACGCAACGCTTCATGGCCAACTAAGTTGAGATTAACTAACTACCTCCGCGAAAGTCGAGTTACAGGCACCGCAAGCAAAAAAAAAAACAAGATAATAAAGTTTTGCGTCGTGCCTGCCACACTTCCGGCAAGAATATAATTTTAATATTTTCACTCAAGTCAACGGAAGCAGCATTAACGCACTAACTCTGAAGCAACAACACAAACAGCGGTAGCAACTGTGAAAGTGGAATCAAACTAAAGCCGTAGTGGCAGCGTACAGCGTAAACAAACTGCCAGCCAGACGGCAAGAAAAAAAACGCGCAAGAACACATCCTTATTATCTCAGTTGAAAACAAATAGAATTTCAAACAAAAAAGCGACAGATAAAGCAACAAGGGAAATTGAAAGAAAACTTTGTGGAACAAAGTTGAACGCAAAAAAATTCCGCGGCTTTGGAGAAGACGAAAAAAAATCATCGCACTCACATTTATGTAGATAGTTTACGTGAGAGCAGATACGTAAAAGTAAAAGTTGTTCGGATACCACATACGAGCCACGCATGCACATATGTATGTATGTATGTAAATTTTTAACCGCCAAACGAAAGATAAAAGCGGAATATGTGATGTACAAACATAGAAAAATGCGTGGTGAAAAAACAAGAGAGAATTAGAGTTTTTGTTTTTTGCATTTTCCAATGTATGTATGTATGCATATATACTGCTACAATCAAGCACTCAACAACACTGCTCTGCTGTGGCATAAGCAAATACGCTTTCACGTCCATTCACTTAATCTGCTCAGTGTCTAAGCGTAGAAAAGCAAACAGCAATACGCGAATTTGCTGTGACAACGCTTGAAGGCTTCACTAAGTGAAACAGATTATGTTTGAAGGAGAACAGCGAACATTTCCAGTGCTATTGCGAAGCCGTACAGCTTAAACATCTGCACTGAGAAGGTTAGTGGCTGATCCGGTCAGACAGCTGGAAAATAGCAAATGTGAGAATTGATTGAAATATCAACGCTATGGCTGCAGAGTGCAATCGTTTCAATGGCTGTTTTTATTTTTTATTTATTTTTGGTTTTATGTAGCTGCTGCACTCTATTTGAGCTCTACAGAAGAATATTTGATATTTATTTTTGCTTCGTAAACTCCTCTGAAGCTGATTTGAGGTAGAGTAATAGCTCTTCCAGTTTAAAGTAGAACACTCTCAGTTGAAATTTCTATGACTGCCTATTAAAAGTTCTATTCCTCCTCATTTGAAGTTTTAAACACAGATGCCACTCCACCTTATAACAATTATGAAATTAAGCATTTTAGTTGGTGTCATGTTCCGGATACTGGATGGATATAACCGCTCTCCGAAGTGTAAGAGCCTCTGACCCATGATACATGGGCATTCGTAAAATATGTTCCAGTTACAGCAACTGAAATCCTGTCAGGAAGCCTGTGAAAGTTCTCACACCCTCACGACTAAAACTAAGAAGTCGTTCTGAAATTCCTTTAGGGGATAATATAAATTTCTTGGATTGCTTTTTTCTCTTAGGCGTTCTACTGTATACCTTTTCGATGGCCTACAGAAAGGCCGTTGACCGTATATGTATGTACATACCTAGACTCTGTTGGGCCGCACTTTCAAATGAGTTTTGCAGTGGTCCATAACCCCGTCCCCCGTGATAACAGACCTTGCACTGCCTTTCTCGAGCATGCTTCGATCAGTATGCCAGAGTCTGCAAGTGTTCACTTCAGGAATTATTACTTTTTAGTGCTTGTTGAAGGATAAGTTTGGTAGAATTTTGTGTGTAATTTTGATTACCCAAACAAATTATTTTAAACACCAATCGCTCTTGGAGTTCAACACTACTTATGCTCACTAAGCTGCTGATTCGCAAATCGATTCCAGTAAAATTCATTGGAAATTACTGTGGTTGGAGCTGGTTCATTTTCCTAAGATTATTCCCAGTGGCCCCTGTATTGGATGCTCTGACTAATCAGTGCTTTACCGTTGGCCTCTAAGACAGTGCTTAATATGTAATAATCGGTTTTGTTATTGTATAGAACCATTAAAGCGTTAAATGTGATTTCCATGTGTTCAGGAGTAGTCCACACGATGCCATAAAACCTCATAAATTCTCTCCGTCAACAGCAGAGACCGAAAACTTCCCTTTCTGCCAATTCGTCAGCCCTGGAGTTTCATGCAATGTCACTACGCTCTGGAAACCAAACCAAGCAGCCAGATCAGATATTCCCCCGACTGGTTTAGATTGTACCTTAAGCGATCCCGAAGCCCTGATTATCGATTGACTATTTGATTTTATTCTGTAAACTGTGTGTTTTACAAGGGACACATCTGCTCGAATTGCTTAAACCAATCCGTGGATTACTGCACCTTTGATTCAGATAATTTTACTTTCCCATTTCACTTTTTAAAGGGATGTGTGTTTAAAAGCATCCAGTCGAAGAAAGCAAAGGCAAAGTTTCCCATATGATAGGTTGAATGAGAATACGGTTGAGCAAAGGTGGAATGGACTGTCTTCAACTAATGTAGACCATTCTGTTGGCTGAATTTATTGTTTTGGGAAAACCACCCCCACCTAAATAAAAGCAAATTATAATCCTCGAAAAACATAAGTCGACATACAATACATTTATTTTTACTAGGGAGAAATTTGCAGCCACTTTGGTCTTCTAGCTCATATGTGTGAGTATATGGCCGATAAAATACTGTTAATACCATTTCATCAAAAAAACTTGTTAGCACCGAGTGCGGAGAAATCCTTCTGTACTTGGTCCTTCCATTTCATGCTCAAGGTTGCTAAGTCCATTTATTTTTCTACAGGGCCATAATCATTATCATTATCATTACCATAACTACTACCGTCACCCTTACCATTACTATTACCACTATCGTTACGATTATCATTACCATTACCTACCAGTAGCTTAACCATTGTAATTACCATTACAATCTCCAGTACAATTACCATTACCATTGCCATTATCATTAACATTACTATTACCTTTGCCATTACCACTGCAATTACCATTACCATTAAAATTAAAATTACCATTTCCATTACCATTACCATTACCATTGCCATTACCATTTGAATAACTCAGTGAGAGGGGAGACCAGTATGTTTGCATGTATGTATATAAAAAAATATTTATTGGACCAACAAGTAGTGGGTAGGCACTGTGGCCAATGGTAATCAACTATTACCACCTCCGCATGGTTGTAAGCCATGCAGAGTCCGCAGAATGCTCCGGAAGCAGTGTCCGGAGGATGCATCCGACTAGGCAGAGCATACTTTGAACTGCCATCAAATTATAACTTAAGAAAGTTTTATTACATGGCAGTTGAGAAGTGCATGTACATAAATTTCATTAATTTAATGAAGGAAATTTTTGCACATGCAGCAGTACATAACATGCATTTAGGCGCCTGGTGTTAGCAGTCGCGTCAAAACACCATTTATATTACCATTACCATTACCATTACTATTACCGTTGCCATTACTTTTACCATCTCCATTACCATTGCATATACCATTACCATAAATATTAAATTTTGCACATTAGTTATAACTTCAATAACGCAATGCGGCGGCGGGAAAACTTTTGCTAATTCGCGATACAAACAAACTGCATATTCTACTTAAAAAATGATTCCAGTTATTTGAAAAAATGCATTGCTTATAGGAAAAAGCTGTATTTTACAACATAATCCATAAAAAAAATTAACGCATATTTGCATCTGTGCGTAGGCCATATTAAATATATGCGAGAACATAAAAGCATTTTTTCCAAAGGCGGCACGCGAATGCTTTTAGTCGCCTTTTTAATTACCTATGCAGACAGCATTGCATGTAAATAACTATAGTAAATACATTTCTATTTGCAAGCTTGCATGTGTGTTCTTTTTCACATATATTTACACATACACATACAAATATGCTGATATTTATGGCCAAATGGATATTTCATACATATTCGTAGCCCTTTTAATTTGCAGCACAGATTTTTATTTTTTCCTGCGGATTTTACTTCAGTGCAAGTTCTGACTATTCGTGAGGCTGGTAAAAAGGCAGCGATTGTTTTTTTTTTTTGTTCCTACATGCCTGGCTTTTCGTTTGAAATTCAGCTTGTGGAGCTATTAATAGCACACTGCATTCCCTGGCGAGTATTATACATGCAAATGCTCATGCAAAAAAAGTGCTCACAGAAACGGTAAACCTAATATTTTATATCACAGAGTTAATAAGTAATTACGCAAACACACGCACAAGCAGGCAGACACCCGCAATTTGAGTGCCAACTAGTCTCTACAAGTGATTTACTGTGTACTTACCGCTACTCATCTCTTGCGAGAATTCTAGCGAGTTTGAGGTATGTAGAAAATGGCATCGCTTCAGTCACATACATACATAAGTACCTAATTCATTTCGCTACTCACGCACGTACATAAATACAGCTGCACGCGCACACGTAATTGCCATAAAGAAAACTTCATTTGAATTTTTTCGTTCTTACTTTTGTAATTATTTATTTACTGCTATTTTGCATTTTATTTGGTCATTAGTACTACATATATTTTGCCTTAAGTTGCTTTCTGTGTTTATCCATTATTCTTAACAATTCCCTAGACATTATATGAATATCATATAATATTGTGATCGCTTACATACTTACACTGTTCAACATTAATATACATATATATCTATTTATATATATTTCATTCATTTGCTTAATTTTTTTGCAACGTTTTTCAATTAAATAATTGGCTTTTAATTTTGGTGTTAGAAATTTTAATTATTCACTTAACCTATTTTGCCGGTTTAATTTGTGTACATTTCGATTTTTTTTATGAATATAAGTGATTAATTTAAAATTTAATAGGTTTTGATTTAATTACTACTTAATACTCATTGTTTTATGGTTTTAGTTTGATTTGGTTGACATATGTTTGTGTGTACTATTTTTGCTTGAATATTTCATTTGATTTAGTTGGACACTAAACTGCGGGGCGTATGGGTATTATTGAGGAGCTGCAACGGCAATGTTGATTATAATTGAGGAATCGGCTAGTGTTATTCGTATGAATAATTACTACTTACTTTCAGAACTAAAAGCAATTATTGAAGTAAGAAGGTTTCGTGAGGTGGGTATACAGAATTTTAGATGTGAAAATTAGGGAAAATTCAGCTTGATCCTCCCCGAATTTTTTAAAGCCACTTGGCGATATGGAAAATAAATTTGATGCAGCAAATTCGAAATCTGTTTTTAAAAGATTTTTTTTTGTAATTCGCGAAAATAGGGACCATAAATAGTACAACTGCGTTTTTAGTTTTTTCTCTGATGTCAGATTTTATTTTAAAGGACTTTTAATTTTGAAAAATATGATTAAAAAAAGTATTAAAAAAGTTCAGAGCGATATAGAATACAAATATGCATAACGAAAGAAAGAGAACATTCTGTAGAATTGGAAAAGATTATATTTTTTGGTGCACAAGGACGAATAGGTATTGAAATTGTTCTTTTAAAATTTAATGCCTGAATATCCTTGAAAATTTGCAATATTTATTTTTGAGAAAATTGTATCTTAAGGACTATTATAAACACGACCACATGCTCGAAATTCATCCTTTTAACTTTGTTAGCTTGAGAAAAAATAAATTCAAAGGGCATTTTCAATACCTATTCGTAAATCAAAAATTTCAAAGTTTTTTAAATTCTAAATAATATACTTTCATTTGGTACCCATACTGTCATTGTACATTGCACTGGATTTTTTAAATAATTTCTTGAACTAATCATATCTTTGAAATTTCAAAGTTATTAAAAAATCTCGACGTCAGGAGAAAAAAAAAATAAAAACGCAGTTTAACTATATTTGGCCCCTAGTTTTTTTTTAATTAATTCCACTATGTCTCCGTATTCAGTAAAATCCGGTTATTGGAGATCACACGGAAAAAGTACAGAAGACTCCCTAGTAGGGCGGGTATTTTTATTTTACTGTGCGCGTATAGCAAAGGAGAATTCTCTAATTTCTAGGCCTAATTCCAATTTGGAGTTTTCCAAATTGCAAAAATAGGTTGCGAGAAAATGAGAAAATTTTCACTATTGCGCCCTTTGTTGGAAGTTTTAAGAAAAAGATTAGTACAGAAATGTATTCCTCATACAAAAACCCCTTTCTAGCAAATCTTTATTCTACTTTAGCACTTCTTTACGAAGCTACGCCAAAATGTTTAGAAACCAATTTTCGCAATTTGGCAAATTCCAAATCGGTTTTTGACCAATGGTTTCTTCGGCACATTTTCTTAGAATTACACTTGAAATCCTTCTGTGCTATAAGTTTATCAAATTCTTCTACCAAAATTGTGGATATTCGGTGGCTGCATTTTCGCAATTTACGAAAAAAAATCTTCTTCATTAATGAGACTAATTTCAAGCTCGCTGGTAGGGTTAAAAAGTCAAACTGACGAATACAGAGCAGGGCTGCCGGGTGACTGCTAAGAGACATTATTGTAGCCAAAAATTACTTTTTTTGTGAATTGAGTCAGCAGGGTCACAACGATAAAGCAGCCACTGTAACCCGGCGATTGAAGACTTTAATTTGGGAAAAAATACGTTTTTAAAAAGATAGATCAACACGCTTTATTGCGCAGTAATTTCCCAGTACGCGTAGTTTCGAGATGCGGCGATGTAATTTTGTCACCAAGTCACTGAGTTTTGACGCCTCAGCACTTATTTTGAGTATCAGTGCGATATATTGCGCTCATGAGCACGATTCCACAGCCTTGGAGCAACTGAAAGACACTAGACGTTTAATTTTGGACGAATTATTGCCGGAGTTGCATGGAAAAGTCATCAAAGGTAATCTATAAAAGACTGCAAGCAATTATATAAAAAAAAAAAATTTCACGTCAATCGTTGTCCAAACTTTATTACGAAATAAATTTCCATCGAAATTTGCATATGTAAATACAACGGTTAAACAAATTTTGAACAAATTTTACGAAGAAAATATTAGTTGACTGATGCATTTGACCTTATGTGGATGAGTTGAGGAGAAATTAGTAAAGACGGAAAAGTAAAAAAAAAAAATTGTGAAAAAACCCTCGTGTGGAAAAAAACTCAGTGCTCCAATAGAAGGTATTTGTTTCCAATGTAAACACCAGCACTTAAAACACTATTTCGATGGATGGTTTTCTTCTTTGTTTCCGACGTGTGTATTGACCACATTTGTGCATATCCAAAACTATACGCGGTCGTTTTTGAGATCAAAATCTTCCAACTTTTGTTAAATCGTACACTTAGTGCTTTTTTATTAACCTTTAATTGTGTAATCAGGAAATAAATAAGTTCTTTTCAGTTTATCAAACAAAGCTCTATTATAATAACTTGTTGTCGTTTCTACAAAAGAGTCTACGAGATTTTACCCTGCGAAAAAAATAAAAAAAACTCAAAACACACGAACACACATCAATAAATTGACGGAACTATGGGTCAAAAATTGTAAAACTGCGTTTTTACTTTTTCACTCTGATGTCAGGATTTTTTTTAAAGGACTTAGAAATTTTAAAGATATGAATATGGATACCAAATGAAAGAGAAAATTCTGTAGAATTCAAAAAGATTAAAGTTTTTTAGTTCGCCATGATGAATAGGTATTGAAAATGATTTCCATGATTCTTCTATGGTTATTAATATTTATGGACCATAACGATTAAAAAACCTATAGAGTAAATGCTCAAGAAGCTAAGTCGTAAAGAACATTCGGCGTAAATATTAAAATATTGCTTACCTTAGCGAAGAAACAAATTATCAATTTTCGAACACTTTATTGAAATCAGCACTTTAACTTTCTCAAATCTCAAATTAGATAACATAAAAAAAGCATATTATTTTTCGAACTTTTACTCCAAAATAATTATCTCACATGCAAATAATAATTTTTTTTTTTCGCATTTGTAAACAATTTGCCTAATGGCTATTT